GCCAAGACTTTTAAGTGACCGTACGTAAGAACCACGCATACCTCAAGCTGAATCTGAAATACTTAAGTTGTACTTGGACAAGGAACGTTCCCCCAAAATTTCAGCTTTCCAGCTTTAATGCACCACCTTCATCCCAACTGATGCCCTTCCTCCTGCATGCCAAGGATCAAAGCACTGCCAGTATTAGCCCAAGTGTTAGGCTACAGCATAGGGATCATTACTGCTAATAGCGATCTGTGAGTTTAGTGCAAAAACGCATGCTCGCACCGGAGAGCCTGGTGCGTTTCAGCTTGGGTTACATTATTTCGTGCTGTAGCAAGCTTACAGGGAATCACAGTAGTTCAAATTTGTAACATACTGGCCCTTGAAGTTCAAGTTAACCGCGCAACTACATTATATGTCAGTTGTAGGTGCCGGCTTCAATGACTCGAGAAATGAAAGGTTGCTGGTGCGCGAAAAAGACCGCACTAGAAGAGTTCTTTTCTCATACCGATTAGCAATTTTCTCGCCGAAATTTTCATTTGCTCATAGCTGGGCCAGGCGTGCATGAGGGTTGGTGCCGCGGTCCTGGGGTGGCGCTTAGCCGGGAACCAACTGGCAAAGCTTTGGCACTGGAGCTTGCTTGGTTGCCGAGTTGAAATATCCGGACATACGAACACACACACACACACACACACACACACACACGCACAAACATACACACAGACAGGGTCGTTGCAACATGAGTTTTTGCAATTTGCATATATGCAAAAACGCATAAGAACGACTGGCCATTTTGCGCTTTGATCCTTTGTATGAATACTTGTGATGAGCCGCTGTTGAATGGTGTGCATCAGTGGGTGCGTGCATTTTCTCATTCGAATTCAGTACCATATATCTTCAAATTCTAAATTCATTCTTCGTTGTTTGTAGTAAAGAACGAGATAAAAGTAACAGAAGATGACATTGCAATTCGGAACGAGAAGGGTAATCGTGCGTACTTCATCAAAGCACCAGGCAACTATTCGTTGCACTTCAAAAGGATCGTAGTTACCAAAGATTTTGGTTATTTGAGCGGCGAAATCGGAGTGACACTACAAGTACCAATCATCGAAGGGCCTGCAGGCTTGTTTCCTTAAATCTGTACCTCTTTACTGCAAAAACTGTTTCAAAATTTTGGACAATTCCGACTTTTTGTTCTAGGCATCCGTTTCGATTTGCCGTATACAATGATACCAGAAACTGGACTTCTGGACCAGAAATGTGACGAATACAGTGGCATCGTGCAACGTGCTGGACGGCAGTACTGGTAAAACTTGTGGCGTTAAGCAACAGAAGAAAACTATATCAATTTCCATTTGATTTTGCCTTTATTGAGGCAAAGCCGAACAGAACTTGATAAAGCCGCCAAAATTGCTGATATGACTAAGAGCTGGCAAAAGGGAATGAAGATTGAACAAAAAAAATTTTTTTTGCTTCCCTTTTTCGAAAGCACAAATGAAATTTTCGTTTTCTTCCTAAAACATCTCTGATCATAACATATTGAAATTATTGAGTGGACTGAATTCCTGCAGCTGCTAAATAATATAAGAGTAGCTGCAAATGCTCTTAAACAGACTTACAGTTTTATCAGCCGTGTAAAATTTTTTCAAAAATGATCTGTTTCTCTTCGAAAAATTTTTGTCTACGCCACTAGATAAATTATTCCTTTTAATGCTTTATTCATAACAGTATGTGAATTGAGTTTTAGCACATTTCTGTTTTGAATTTACTCCCCAAAATTTCACATCGATACAAATGAAGCTATAACGAAATAATTGATACTATGGCGCAATCGTAATTTTTCGGAGAAAGGCACTTTTGCCTTGAAAGTCGTTTTTAGCATCTTTTGACACCAGCACCGAAAGCAGTTTTTTTAATAACGAAATGCTGCTTCATTACCAAATACCATTTGCTTTAACGAATATAAAAACGTATTAAATGAAAATATTACACAGTTACTGTTCTTTTGAAAAAAGTGTTGCAGTTTGTCCTGCACTTCCCAGAAAAAAGAAACTTTCACTACTTCTTTTTCCCCAAATTTGCACCGGTTTGCATATCCAGTTTGTTCCTTTTCATTTCCGCATTCTCTCCACGTATAGCGGGTTCTATTTTCAGCCGCTACTGTGACATTTGCGGGTTGACAGAGAAGCTGGAAAATGGACTCAATGAAGAAGGGCATTTATTTTTGCCCGAAATAGCACGGGGCAACGAAAAGAAATTTGCACCGGTTTGCAATCGAATTTCATCGGACACTTATGAATTCAAGCGTACGATAAATTTGCCTGGTCGGCGGGAACTTGAGGCTCGAGTTAGCGAAAAAGTCCAGGGACTGGATGGGGAAATTCGACAGCGTCTGAACAAACGGGTCAGTGTTTCGAAGTTTTCTTTACTGTGCGATGCGATAACTGCAGCTACTTTGTGGTCATTTTTTTTCTAACATAGAAAAGCTTTCAATGCTGATAAATTCTCATCACTTATTGCAGCATTTCATGAACGCGGACATGCAAGGATTAGGGAGGACTACACTTTTATCCTCCTCTGATGATCTGAAAGCAGACTGATGGTTTCGATGACTCTCAGTTTCGATTTCGCTGTAGGCAGACAAATCTTCCGCGATTTGTTGATTCATTCTGGTGACGCTAATGCCAATTTACCATCGAAATGAATCAATAAATCACAGAAAATTTGCCTGCCTACTGATGGGATCAAAACTGAGAGTAACACTGTTTGCAGTTATATGCTGTCAATCAGTTTAAGTCAAAATTTCCAGCTTCTCTTGAAAGCGGCCAACACGATGCAGCGACAAGTTGTGTAGCTGTTCTGTTGGAGGCGAAGGGTTTGACATCATCTGACATTCTTCCAGACCTTCTGCTATCTGTTTTTCAGTTTCGATGGTAGATTGATATTGACTGATATCATGAAATCAATTCGCCATTAGCTTACTTCAAAACAGTCTTCAAGAGAGGAGTACATGGCTTTTCAACATGTGTTTCTGAGATCTGCTTCTGAGTGCCTTTGCTTTAAAAAACTAAGTTCAGCCGTCTGGTTTACATATGCGTCTGTTCATTAAAATTGTATTTAGATGCCCTTCCAATGCTTAAAAATCTCTGGCTAAACAACTGCAATGAAAATAGGCTGCGTGTTTATTCCTGTTACTTCAGTATGCACCTAAACGAGCAATGATCGTTACTGTAATTTTTGCTCAAATTCCGCGTTGAAAGATTATTTTTTCAGCGCGGTCGGTTCCAGGTATTTTTAAATTTAATTAGCGCAAAGCAACCGCCGATCAAGCAGGACGCGTGGTTCGCAGCGTCTGCCGATGTAAGAAAATTATTTTCTAACTGGATTCAGAAAACAAATCCATTTTCATGTATGAACAGTAAAATTAAACTAACTTATGAGCGAGTACAGGCAACTTTATGTTAATTTCGAACTTTCTGGTTTTCACGATTTCTTGTAGATTTAGTTTTCCCAGATTTATCATTGACTGTTAGCTACTCACCATTTGCCGATTTCTGATTTGATACTCAAACGAATGAAATTAGCGCCCGTTTTTATATAACTGTGAACCATTATTTTGAATTTCCAAATTTTTATGAATTTCTGAAGTTTCATTCCCCTAACTCGCTGGCAGTGCATCTGCTCGTTGCTTGTCGCAGAAAAGTACCTGTTACCGAAAAGTTCTATTGCAGTGCAGATGCTGCTCGAGAGAACGAGACGCTTCCTGCCGTGGTGTGCTTAGCTTCTTGTACTGCAACAGCGAAGACTGCAAAAGCACATGGGCGCAGCAATGCTTGCATAATTCAGCACGTATCGCAGCATGTTACACGGTGGAATTCAACTATCGCATGACAACTTCATATACTGTAGTGACACAGTTCCTCAGAGATAACAATTATCCGGATCAGGAGCGATTCGCTGCACCACCGACGTTTGCTTTTGCTCTTTACAGAGATAGTGTCTGATTCATCTCGAATGGGTTGAACATAATCCAAGGAAACTAGTTCACACCTTCCAAGTAATCATGGTTGGAGAATTAACAATTACTGATTGTTTCTTGCACGATTCATACAAAAACCCGTGATGAAAAGATTGTGTGTGGATGAAACCGTCTGTGCGGATAAGTGAACTTATGAAGTAGATACCGAGTGTGGGAATCACTTTTCAGAAATCAATTTCGGGTGAGAAAAGTTGAGCAGCTTAAATGACAGTCGTAACGCCAGCGGTACTTTAAATTAAGTTTGAGGAACTGACAAATAATCTGTTGGAAATCCTTAGAAAAAATTGATGAATTGATATATTTGGTCGGAGATATGGGATGAGGTTCGGAAAACTGGAACACGCTTTCCTACCTCCTTTTCCCAACATCCGTCAGCCCTCGACTCCATCCCAATTACTAATATGTATGCACAAACAGATGCGCATTTTGCTTAGGATTTTATGACCAAACCGTCCGGTAAAATCAGTAATTTTCAGCACTGCATCGCCACATCAACCCGCGATCGATGAAGATGATCATGGCAGTCTTCCATTAGCAGAAAGATGTGTGACAAGAATGCCGGAAAGGTTGAGTAACCTCCGTCGCTATTGTACAATATTCTGGAATGACAAGCTCTGCTGCTCACACTGTCCCGGGACATGCTAACGTTAAATAAGGAGCCTCCATTTACCAGCAACGAACCAAATTCCAGGCGTTTTTGGCCTGCGCTAGTACCATAGTTGCATGACTTCTTTAGACTCATACTTGCTGACCAGTGGTTAATTTGCTTATTATTCATTATTTTACAAGCAGTTGTTGTTGTTTTTCGTCAAATGACGGGTGTACTTTATATCATTTTCTATTTGCAAAAAATAGCAGTGCTTGTTGGCTGTTTACGCACTGAATGTAGCGTAAATGAGATGTTGAGCGCAGTACTGGCCGCTGTTCACTACAAAAAGTGATTAAAGCAGATTTCAGAAATTACGCCAAATGGCTTAATATTTGATTTCAAGTACTTTGTTTGCAAATTCTTCACAGCATCTCTGTTCCATTTGCATACTAAAATCTTCCCTTATCTGAAGCATTTTCCTTCAATTTCTGAAAAAAGTTCGCGTACAAAAAGGCCAGAAAACAACTGCGTCTATTCTTGTGCGTTCTGCATAAATAAAAAAACTCATAATGGTGAAGCCATACCTAAATATATACATCACTGTACGTCTCTCAGTACATCTATATTAACTAACACAGCACCAAAACGAAGGAAAATACAGTAAATAGGGAGATACTGTGTTCACAGGACAGATAATGGAGATCGTACTGATTTGAGCGCACAGCAAGTGAGTCAGGCTAATCACACAAGATGTTCGATTTCGTCATAACAATTTCAACAGTGAATACTTCCATCAAAATTTGATTTTGTTGGGTTGTGCCGTCACGAAATTACGACATCAGTATTTATTTAGAGCAGGTTGGGACACAGTTTGTTTGATTAATTTTGGCCCATTGCTTTGCACCATGCAACCAGCTGAAGCTCGCTCTAGTTCCTTTAAAAACCAGCAGCAGTGAAAAGTCAGACATGGCTTTTGGCTTGAGGACCGAGCTTCTGCAAGGAGCAGTTTGTTTAGAATTGAAGCCAATGTTTCTGGACAAGCAGGAATAAACGTACAAAAAAAATGCAGGCATGATTTCATAACAATAGGCTTTAGCAGAGAGCGAGGCTGCGGATGCATCTAAGCATGTAAATATACGTATATATATTTGCATGAGTGTATTTGTGGATTCATCCAACAGCTTGCTGCAAAAATACGTGACCGTGCCTACAGCCTGTTACAAAAAACTCCTTGTTTCGTTGGAAGTTAACCACGAAGAAACCGCGCCGGAAAATAATGCACAGCAGGCCGTCTTTCATTAAAATTAGCTATCGTTGGGATGGCACACTCAGTGTTGGCAGTCTTCGCTCCACTCATGTCAGAAATTTCCGCAGCCTTGATCTCTTGTCTTAAATTGCTCCTCTTTTGAAAAAGCATTTTCGACAAGTGTTTTATTCCCTTGAGTATGTATGTATATATGTATATGTGTATACATATATGTATGTATATGTATATGAATGTATATATATGCATACATGCATATATATATATATATATATATATATATATATATATATCTGCCCGCATATTCTGATTTCCGCATCTATGAAAGCTTTGCCAATGAAATTTTGGTAAATCAGCCCACCACTACGGTTTGGGCTTGAAACATAAAATGAACGTTCATATCAGCTTACTTGTCACGTACAGGCATGTCAAATATCTTTAGCGTAGACCGATTTTGAAAAGCTAATCAAGCTAGAAAGCTGAAATTTTGCAAAGTTGTTCCCCGTCCATTTTTAGCCAAAGAACTTAAATTCAGCTTTGAGGCACGCCTACGTCTTGTGAACGCACAAATGAAAGTTTATCTTACGACACTGTTGGCACTCTTTTAATTCGGAAATCAGATTGAATAGAAAGCTGTTTTTATGCGTTTTGCATATCATGTAAATACGAAAATGCATGCTGTCAAGAGGTTGTCGGCATGTGTGTGTGTGTGTCTGTTAGTGTATGTGTGGGTATGGGCGAGTGAAATTTGTCATCCACTTTCATCTCCAAAATCGAAGAAATTAGGAAGCTGAAATTTTTGCGGTCGTATTCTCACCATACGTGTCATCCTTACAAGCTGAAATCAACGGCTATTTACGCCTGAATTCCAAGTACAGACCGAAAGACGCGCATATTTTTTGGCGGAAAACGATTTCGCGAAGCAGTCAAGCTAGAAGGCTGTTCCCTGCCCATGTTTGAGCCAAAGATTTCAAAAACAGTTATCGTAAATGCTTACATGTGTACAGCCAAGTCAAAGTTTGTAATTGGCACTATGTCAACTGGAAAGTTAACCGGGAAACAGCAGCTTAATTTTACCAGAATATTTTCATTCATCTGGAAAATCGTATATCTAAAACGAATTTCGATTTGCACCTGCGCCATACTTTAGAATACGCCAAAGATGTTTGCAGCGATGAAGATAAGTCGCTAAAGATAAGTGACGATTTCTCTTACCGAAGAAGCTACTAAGCTGAAATTTTGCAGAGATATTCTATACACACATGTAGTATAAATTACCTGCGCTCGGACGCAACAGAAACCCCGTTTTATCGCAACCACAAAAGCGAGTACATTTTGCAGATTCTCTCCCCAACATTTTGTGAATTTTCAAATTTGCATTTTTCAATGAACGACTGGTAACCATAAAACTTACGGCGATTATGCATGCCGTAGATTTCACGCGACGCACTGCTACAAACACTACCGTCTTAGCGAACGCCCTTTTTCCTCACATGCAAGAAAGAACCAAAACATTGCCAACAAGAGCGCGCATGTTAGATTATAAGCAGCGACCACTCATACTGTTAAAGATCTGATTGCTTCAAGACTAGCGCAAAAAGCATGGTTGCAGCGTCAAGTCTGGTGCTTTGGGTTTTACATAATGATATCGGCAAGCAAACGGAAGCCACTGCACAACCCTAAGTTGTACTGCAAAAAAGAACTGATCGTTCGTGCATGATGCAGACAGCGAATACAGACTGAATGCATACAGCTTATGACAGAAGGACCCGGTATAATAACTGGGTCGACTATGTGAGTACTTTCCCGTAAAGTCACTAAACCAGATTTTCACACCGGCTGCACAAGCGATCATGGTAGTCTTAGTAACGTTAAAATTGAATTGCTAATGTGTAATATTCTAATAACTAGTCATATCGATAATTCCTGCCAAAATCGCTTTAAATTTTATCATGCTGTAACTCGAGTAGATTATTGTTTCTGATATTCGTTATGCTGGATTAAGCTCGAGTTTTCAGAAATGGAGCTCAAGGATTTTTTGTTGCCACTGGTCGCGGAAAGCCGAAGGCGTTATGCCGATAATTCGTTGATGATTGTAATTGAATCAATTCAAACTAACATCAAAAATGCAACCCCAAGCAGCGTTCATTCGAATCGTCAATTTCAACTGTCGGATTTGACAAATCGAGAGCTTCTTCTGTTTTCATCCGGTCATACTGAAATTCGAGGATATGGCGGAGAAATACGTCACTGGCAGACGCAACCGTGCAGTGATTTACATCAAATGGTACTCAGTATGACGGATATAGGAATCCTAAGTATGCAACCATTGAAGACGCTTCAGAAGGTTTTGTGCTGGAAAGAAAAAAATAAAAGAAACACGCAGAATCCTGGACTGACGCTAGTTTACTGCGAATTCATGGACATCGACAATCATTTTGTTTTGGATGATGAACTGCTCACGGTACTAGAGGAGGTTCTTCGGGCTCATTTTTGTGTACAACGGTGTCCATTTGCTGATCAGATCCAGTGGCTTGCACTGCCAATCATAGTTCCTCATTTACTCTGGGTTGTGCTGCAAACAGACCTCGAACAGAACACTGTCGATATGCAGCTGTATGACAGCGAGGGTTGCAAGTGTGGCAATGTTACTGGAATTGTTTTCACTAAAGAAATTCCGCTCATCGTTGGGAGGTGTCTGAAGGGTGAAAATATGACTATGCAAAGAATTCGAGGAAATTCAAAGGTCGCAAGCACTGCTGGGCTCGCCCATGAAAAACCGTCAGCAGATGTAGGATTAAATAATTTGATTTTTGCACCAACTAACACTGCGGAATCAAAGACTTCTTCCAGTGCAGAAAATCATATGATTTGCACAGAAAAAGAGACAGCTGCAGAACCTTTACGATACAAGGCCGTTCTAAACAAAAGAATTTGGGAGCTGGTCAGAAAAATCGCAAAAACCTCGAGTGCTGATCACAGTGCAACATTTGTGTCGCTTGGATTTGATTCTCTCAAATTAGCACGTCTGGAGTTTGCACTTCAAGCCGAATTTTCTGGAAATTTTTCGCTACCTTACGGGATTATGCAACGATTTTCAACTGTTGATGCCTTGAGTGATTATCTATCCACAAAAAGCGGTGCCGAAATTACTGGACGAGACAATATAGTACAAGAATCTGAAAGTATGAAGGCTGTGGATGAAAAATTAAAAAAGCTTATGAGAAACAATGAAAAACTGATGTTAAGTGCAGCGCAAAAACGATTTGTGTTTCTGTCAGAGCTTATTTCCGATGGCAACGGCAATTTCCTGGAGAGGATGTCATTTAAAATAGACAAATCAGCAATGAACGAACTTCGGAAGGCTTTAAACAGACTAGTGGCACGACATACAGCACTACGAACCATTTATACCAGGAGCAACCAAATAATTTTATCATCTACTGAAGCTTATTTCTGGATTCGCTTACAACAGGACATTGATTTGGAAGGACACTGTCCCATCCGGCTTTTTGATTCGACAGTTCCAATGCAAATATTGATCGCCTCAAAAAGCGAGAGCAGGACAATAAAGAATCATTGCCAGGAGAATCCAAAAGTCGTCAAAGGAGTTAGCCAGAAACAACTAGCAATAACTCGAGAAAAGTTTGAAACGAAATCTATTCAGAGTGAGGAAAGTGAATACTCTCGCACAGCGCGAACTACAGACAGATGTATTGTAATGATTGAGCAGCACCACATCATGACCGACGGCTTCTCAGTAAAGCTATTGAGAGACGATCTGCGCACACTTTGCAGCAGGAAAAAACAAATAGAACCAGCTATATATCAATATGCTCATTATGTGCTTCTGGAAGATCAAATCCGAAGAAATTCTGAACATTTCGAATTCCGCAAAAAATTCTGGAAAAACCAATTTGCTAGAGTGGAACTGCAAACACTACCGGCCGATAAGACCGATCAAACAACAGGGCTTTATTCAAACGGTTGCGTACAAGTCAAGCTGGATTACAAAACCCAAAAATATTTGCAGAATACCGCTGAAAGCTGCTCTGTAACACAGTTCACTGTGCTTCTCGGAATGTACCAGCTTCTTCACTACAAAAAGTTTGGAATTCAGGATCTATGCATCGGAGTTGTCAGTGCAGACAGAGGCACTCCTGAATTGCAAACCATCGTTGGTTGCCTGCTAAACGTGGTACCAGTCATTTGCACTATACATTCTGAGGAAAAAATCTGCGATTTTATAAAGAAAGCTTCAAGACGCCTAAGTGAGTGTACCCAGAACCAAATCCCATTTGATGACTTGATAGCCGTTTTGAATGCGAAACGCAGTAAACCAAATTCACCGCTTTTCCAGGTTTTGTTCATTATGGATGAGTTCAGCGTCAGTGATGACGACGCCAGTAATAGTGATATCGACAATTCCGACAGTGGTAACGATGAAGAAACAAATGATAAAAGAGTCGCAGTTTTTGGGGAATTCGAAAGCCAGGATTCTAACTTTGCACAATATGATCAAGTCTGGTACTGTCAACGTCGAGAAATCGATACCATTACGATAAAAGTTGTTTACAATGCTAATCTTTTTTACGCAACTTCAGTGAAAGCAACAGTCCAGCAGTATATTCGACTAATCCATAAAATCCACGGAAACTTGCACACTCCTGTTAGTAATTTGAAATTGATAAGTAACGAGGAAGAATACAGGAATTACCAAAAGCGAGTTTCAAATCGATGCGACTTCCCCCGAAAATGCACAGCTTTGGATATTATTGCTGAGCAGAACAGGATGAATCGATACTGTAATAAAATTATTCAACAAAACAGCTCATTTTCGAGTTCATTCCTGGAAAAAACGAGTAACAGGCTATCGAGACATTTGACACAGTTGTGGCTGCGATTTTCAGGGGAAAATCTAGCCACTGATAATTTTGCTTTAGTACATCTCAGTCGTTCTGTTGACCTCTTACTGGTTGTTTTTTCACTTTGGAAATGTGGTGCTGCAGTAGCTCCAGTAAGCACTGACATTCCCGAAAAACAGTTGCATGAAACAGCTACGAAATTAAATCCCTTTATTATCATTCATGGATTCATACAAAATCAATCCAGGTGCGAAAAGTGCAACTGCAGAAGCAACAAAGAAAATTGTTCCGAAAATGCCTCCCAGATGTTGCCACTGTTAAACGGTGGAAAAGTTTTTTCAAGACAAGATCCCAAATGCAGGTGCAGCTTTCAGCTCAGTATCGAGAGCAGTCAAATGCGCAGCGCAATCTGTGAATATTCGGATAAGGAGCTTAGGAAAAAAGCAAGTGAACGAGATTTAGCTTATTTGACATTCACTTCAGGAAGCACTGGTGCCCCGAAGGCTATTTGTACAGAGTTCTACGGCCTCAACAATCTGGCACTGAACTATGCGGAGCAGCTCAGCATCAGAAGAAGCAGTATAATCTACCAGGTAGTCAATCCGTCCTTCGACATCTTCTTCGCTGATCTAATCGAAGCACACACAAATGGCGCAACGCTGCACCTCGCCGCCCAGAGCATTCCCGACCTGACGGAAGAGATAACACAGGTCAGCCATGCTTACATAATGCCGGCCTATCTGTCAGCTATTAAACAAAAACACTGGGAAAAATTGGCGCGGCTCGAGAAATTGAACTTTGGCGGGGACCACATCCAGCATAAGAGCCTGCACGCGGCTGTTCAGGCCGGGCTTCATTCTTGTCAGCAGTACGGTTTAACTGAACATTCCATCTACTCAACCTGCAAGCTTATGAAAATTAGGGAAAAAGTCTCTTTAGTTGGAAAACCACTGAAAAACATTCACTTCTTTGTGCGTGACGTTGATCGAAATATTTGCGAACACCGCGTGATCGGAACTTGCTGCACTTCCGGACCGGGCATCAGCCGCGGCTACTTCGGAAATTCACTTCTAAACCGACAACTGTTTCTGGAGAATCATGACTTGGCGAAACTGGAACTGCTAACAATCCATGAAAAACATGATTTCTGGACCGGAGATATGGCAGTCATTGAAAATGCCGCTGGTGAGCTGAATTTTTTAGGTCGCAAAGACTTTGAAGTGAAAATTCGAGGTATGCGGATCAATGTTAGTGAGACCGAAGCTGCTCTGGAGCAGTGTGAATTGGTAAAAGCCTGTGTTGTGTGCGTACATGGAACAAATGCAGAACGATTCTTGACAGCTTACATCATCTTAAGCAAAAGTATACAGCGGACTGAGGACGATACTGAGCTAAAAACAGCTCTAAGCAATTATTTGGCGTCAAAGCTGCCTTCGATCATGATCCCCAGCCAATTCGTATTTCTCCTGCAATTTCCACTGAATACAAATGGAAAGATCGATCGGAAACGACTACCAGTACCGCAGAAACTAGCAAACCCAAATACAATTGCAAGGACGCAACATATTTTAACGCCGTGGCAAAAAAAAGTAATGGAGATATTTGCGAATTTACTTCCTGGAAAAGCAGCTGAACCAGATCAATCATTTTTTGAACTGGGAGGTGACTCATTGAAAGCTATGCTCGCGATGCAACAAATTAATCAGGAGCTCGGAGTGAACTTGCACCTCAGAGATATTTTCCAATCAGAATCCTTTAGTGCAATTATGGACCTGATAGCAATTGACTTCAGCAAAGCTGAATCTAGAAATTTTGATAACGCTGTTTTATGCCAGAAACCAAAGAAATTTCATAACCATTACGATGATGTGCGGGATACTGGAGAATCGGCTATGCCTGATATCCCAAAGGCCAAAGCATCAAAAATATGTAATAAAACAAGAAATAAGGGCAAAACAAGAAACAAATTTTGGTTGGATGAGAAAGGAATACCAGTAAGCCTTTTACAGGACTGGCTACTATTTCTTTACAGTTTTGGGCAAGCATACCGAGACAGTTACATGCTGCGATTTTTGATTAAATTTTATGGTACAATAAACCTCAAAAAGCTTAACAGTGCTCTGAATTTTGTTGTGCGCAAACATCCAGTCCTGCGGACAATAATTTTGCGCAAAGCCGATAGAACCGTGCAGGAAACTCTATCATTGGCTGAGTGTTACATAAAAATTGGCGAAAACAATTCGCTTTACAAACAGGCAGGGCCAAAAACGGGATGTTTGCCGGAATTATTTGACAATCCTTTGCTGACAATAATCTCTGACAGTGTATCTGGTAACCTCCAGCTTCACCTGATCTTCGACCACCTCATTGTTGATGGCCATTCTATCGCTATATTATCAAACGATCTTGTAGAAATCTATAACAAACTTCTCACCGAATCCAGTGAAAAATGCTTCCATGCATCGACAGATGTACGCAGGAGCTACGCAAATTTTTGTCTTCAACAGCGCCGTCAGGCTGAAAAGCTTGGCATGCACGGGCTGAGCAACGCCCAGCGGAACACCGAGCAAAAAGTTCAGGACTGCAGACTTCTAGATGAAATGATTGCAAAACTTCAAAAATTCCCAGCCCTAGAAATTGCCAGTAACTGTACTTCTGCTGCGGACGATGACTTCGATATAAGAAACGACTCGATGAAACTCAAAATTTCAGTAACCCCAAAAGCAATTAGCGAGTTCTGTGCTGCACAGAATTGTACGCTCTTTGCTTATTTGTTAAGCATATTTTCGCTGACAATGCGTTTAATCCTGGCCGAGCAGCACAGTCCGCAGGAGCAACGATTTGCGGTGGTCACTCCGGTTTTAAATCGTACCCAGGACACTATGAACTGCACTGGCTTGTTCACTAACACTGTGATCATTGCTATCGAAACAAATTTCCAGCAAATTTCTCATTTAATTCAAAACATTCAAGCAATAATCGCTGAAGCTCTGCATTACCAGCATATACCATTCGGATATGTTATCCAGAAGCTAAATCCGAGGCGCGACCCCTCCAGAACTTCACCTTATCCAATTTCTTTCGTCGTACACAGTGCCTCAGCAAAAAAGCTGCCAAGAATTGATGGCGTTGAAACAGTGGTCGAAGAGCTCGTACCCAATAATGCAAAATTTGATCAGTCATGGTACTTCACTAAGTTTCAAGACTATGTTGAAATGATGGTTGAATATAGAGTTGCGAAGTACAGCAGTTCAATGATTGGGCGTAGCATGGAACTGTTTGATCGGATAGCATATGAAATTTTATCAAAACACGAGGTGGATAGTATTCTAAAAATCTGTGCGTCGCAAGCAAACAAAAAAAAAGAGGTCCAGAATTTCGAGCACTGTGAAGACAGGTATGAAATTACAAAAAACGGTAAGGAAAACGAAACGACTACAAAAATTTTGGAGAATGTTTTACTGAAGATCTGGAAGGAAGTTCTTTCAGACCCAGGAATTTCGACTTCCGACAATTTCTTCGCTAAAGGTGGTCATTCGCTGTTATTTGCAAATGTCTGCTATAAGATCGAAAAAGAACTTGGTTATAAGTGCCCTCCACAAGCGATATTCAGGTATCAAACGATCAGAGAACTCGCCGAGAATCTCAGTAACAGCCTCAACATGAAATCAGTAGCAGATGCGACAAAATTCCGCCTTAAAGTATGTCCTTTGCAAGAATCTCTGGTCAGACTCTATCATAATTGCATAGCCCAGTCAGAAGCAGCAGCTGCGACGACAAAAAATATTACTACCACATACGACCAAATCAAAGCTTTCCAGACCGGTTTTACAGTTTTCTTGGAATCCTTGAACTTGCTGCAACTGAGGAAAGCGTTGAATGCAGTGATAATGCGCCATTCTGCATTGCGCACAACATTCTACCACCAAGACGATCATTTTTTTCAGCAGCTTCACTCCGGAACAGAAATTTATTTTTCTTCCAGAGAAACTGAAGAGCAAACAAAGATGAATCCGCCAAATCCGTTTCACGCCATTCCAATCCTTTGTTGGCTCACCCGCAATGGCGGGCAGGAAAAACCCATTGCCGCTCATTCTTTTAAGCTTCATTTCCAAATTAGTCATGCAGTCTGTGACGGAAAGTCGATGGCTATATTGGCTAGTGAGCTTCGGGCGATCTATTTCACAGATATACAAATTTTGGGCAAAACTCAAGATTACGTACGGTTTACAGAGCAAATAGAACAGAGATTCAGCTCAAGAACTGTTGAAGTAAACAGTTACTGGAGAAAGGCATTGGAAAAAGCGGAAAGTGTGGACCTCTATCCAGATAAAGTGGTTGATTCACGAAGCAACAAATGCAAAATTATCCGCAAAAATTTCCAAAAATTGAATACTGTAATTAAAAAGTTAGCGACAAAATACGCTTGTTCGATGTTTGCAGTACAGGTGGCTGCCTTCTGCAAAGTTCTCTTTGGAAGAGTGCAACCGGAAGCTACAGCAACATCGGCTGCATCGAAATTGCTCGTCAGCTGTGTAGTCGATATGCGGTATCCAGGTGAACAGGACTGCGTGGGTATGTGCATTAACACACTGCCACTAGTCGTTGACGTGGAGAATAATAGCACACGGGATTTGGTTTGTGGAGCTGCCAGAAGTCTAGCGGCTGCCTATCTCAATGCGGACATTTCTACCAGCGATATTGAAAAATCATGCGGAAATGTAAGATGGCACAAGCTTATGATAGTGGACGATAATGTTGGAGTCGAAAGCGATCACCTTAACAACGATCACGAGGGGGGCGACGACCCAGAGTACACAAAGTGTGACTTGACATTGTTTCTGACGCATCATCAAAACCATATTAGCGCAAAAATTGAATACAAGCAAGAATTTTTCTACAGCGAAACTGTAGCTATTATGCTTGACAACTGGGCAAAAACAATTTTAAACATGAAATTGAGCGCAGATGCAGAAGATCGCATAATCAAACATACAGACAGACCAAAACTAGGCCCGGAACGAAGACTCTGTCCCAGCTTCGCGGAAAAGAGTAAACGGCACAAAAAGCAGCCCATTTTTGACAGCAGCGATTTTCCAAGTTTTAGCTTTCCTCAGCTACTTCATGAAGCACTCAAGAATAATGACTCACCAGCAAAAACTAATATATGCTTGGCTGGAACCAAAGAAGCCATAGATAGTATTGGCCTGTGCAAAAGAATCTATAAAACATCCAAAATGCTAAATGAGAAAATCAAACAGATTACTGGCGCACCATTACGACCTGACACAGTTGTTCCAGTTGTGGCCCAAAAAAATATCAGCACGCTGATTACCTGCTTAGCAGTGACCTGTTCAGGAGCTGCTTATCTTCCAATCGATTCCACAGATCCAGCAAAAAGGATTGCAGACATCCTGGCACAAAACCGAGCGACGTTCTTTGTGACCGTAAATAATGCAGCACAAGACGGTGGCACAGAATTTACTGGTCGTACCGAAAGTATCAATTCGCTTGTTCACGATGCGTTAGAAATACAAATAAGATACACCGAAGCTGATGATAGACAACTAAAAAAATATGCGCTACAACTACAGAACAGATCATCAGATCTAGCTTACATAATATTCACCTCCGGAACAACTGGAATGCCAAAAGGTGTAGCGATTAGCCAACAGGGCCTTCTTAACATGGCTACAGCGTGTACTCGAAATTTCTGGATGAAGCCAACGGATAGTGTGTATCAGTTCACAAATTTCACTTTTGATAACAGTATTCTGGAAACGACGATGGCACTGGTCAATAGCTGCACGCTCTATGTAAAGGAGAACCTTTTCACGAAGCATGAATTTTTTAATGAAGTGAAAAGAGCGCGTATAACGCACGCATTATTATTTCCTGGTTTGGTTAAAACATTTACAGAAGAGGAAATTCGAAAACTGGCATTTCTGCGATACTGGATTACAGGGGCGGAAAGCGCTAATAAGTGTACTTTGGACTGCGCGCTAAAATCAGGTGTCAACGTGATACAGAACTATGGACCAACTGAGACAACAGCCTATGCACTGACCAAACGAATGAAGCTACTGGACAGACCAAACAATATCGGTCGCGCAATAGATAATGTTGCTGCCACGATAAGTAGTGCGTCTGGACAAGAAATGCTGTCAAAAGCAACGATTGGCGAGTTGCTCATCAGCGGGGTGGGAGTCATGCGAGGATATGTCTCCGGGGCACAGGTAAACGATAAAACTGTTACCCAAGAGAGTCAGTGCGAAGCGGAAGCTGGAAGTTATGGGATCGTAAAACATTACGGATTAACTCGGGCAAGCAACTGTTACGCAACAGGAGATATCGTTCTCGTGCAGCCGAACAATGACTTGCTGTTTCTCGGACGACACGACGACCAGGTGAAAATTCGGGGGTTTCGAATTGAACTTGCTGAGGTCGAAGCCATTTTGTGCCAGCATCCGCTCATCAGGTCCGTAAAAGTTATTTTAGAACAAACACAGAGGCAGCACCTTGTGGCATATGTCATTTTACGTGACATGGAGAGGAAAATGGACACGCACGCAGTCAGACGATTTTTGATGAAGCGTCTGCCGCACTATATGGTGCCAGCGGAGTACCACTGCTTAAGGCAACTTCCACTTACCAAAAACTCGAAAATTGATTTTGCGGCTCTAAAAAATCTGACGAATGCCAATGCAAATGAAGTTCACCGGGAGCTGGTGAAGCCGGAAAATAGTATGGAAGAAAAGCTGCTCGGATTTTTCCAGAAAATTTTGTGCAATAACAAGATTTCAGTAACGGATGATTTTTTCGAACAGGGTGGTAATTCGCTGATAGCATCGCAGCTCATAGAACTTATTGTCGCTGATAAAATTTTGTCCCATTTCGATGTAAGCAACGTTTTTCGTTATCGAACCGTAAGGAAATTGGCAGAATGCATTCTGGATGCTCGAAAATCCATCCTCGACGTTCACAACACTGAGACTGCGCATACGAAAAGAATGCGCTATGATGACATGCCACTTAGCTTTCAGCAACAGCACTATCGTTTCCTGAATGAGACACACCGCCGGCAGTACTACGAGCTCATATTTGTCCAAAAATTCGATGCTCCCAAAAGCATACGACATTTGCGTCTCGCCTTTTTGCGCCTGGTCTTAAGGCAGCCATCGTTGCGGACCATATTTCCGGAAGAGCAATACGAAGCGCGTCAAGAAATACTATCCGGCACAGAAGCATATTTCTACAGTGATACACAAGAACAATACGAAAGCTACCCAACTGGTACAGTAGAAGAGAAAATAAGAATGTTGCAGAATGAGAAGCTGGATTTGCAGCAAGAGCCTCCGGTTCTGTGCACAATCCAGGTTGCCAGTGACACAACCAAAATCGCAATCTTACGCATCAGCCACATCATCAGTGATGCGTGGTCCACAAAAATTCTCGAAAAAGAACTCACTCAGCTGTATCAGCAGGTCCTGCGCAGCAAAATATTCACCGATACCAAGTTAAAACTTACATACGCCGAGTATTCCGCGGAACAATTTCAGAGGCAGCATTTACTGGAAGCGAGCGCTGCTAAATATGCTGGCAAGCTCGTAGCGTGGGTCAAAAGCCACACAAACTACAACAATATTATGGAAAACTGGAAGGAACGCGCAGGACCGAGAGTTCATGAATTTGGGCGCACATGTGTTAGTACTATTCTTGGCTCAGAATGCATGGAATACGAAGAAAATCTGAAATTCTCGATTTCGGGAAGTTACTGGGAAATAGGATTTACAAACGAAAAATCACACATTGAAAAAATTTGTCGTTGTTTTAACTGCACCCCGTTTGTTGTGTTCTTAGGCGTATTTGCTCTGGCGGTGCACGAATTATCGGTTACAGAAAATCTCATTGTTCAAGTACCATTTGCAAACCGAACTCCTCAAACATTAAATATTATTGGTAATTTTCTTAATTACATGCTGATACACAGCACTTACACTTCAGAGATTTTTCCTACGACAGAAATTGCCGGCAGCAGTGTAGGTGGGAATACTGTCCATGATGAAGGTTTGGAAGTTCGCAGTAAGTTAAATTTACGCTTGACTGACTTTTTTGAGAGAGTCAAAGAAACAATAGATGAAGTACGCCAGTTTGAGGAAGTACCATTCATCGTTCTTCTGGAGTTCATCAAAAAAGAATTAAAAAAGCATCGGCTACTAAAACGAGAAATTGTTGAGCGTCTTCATCGAACCATATTCTTTAACTGCCGTTACGATCTTGAACAGGACAATGAATCGACAATTGGGGAAGGCGAAACTCAAGCGCCAACAGGCTGCGTACACGATATAGAAGTCGACGTGGACTGCACAGACCACCACTATTCATGCAGAATTCGAGTGGAAAAGAAAAGCAGCAATGGAACTTTCATCCTGGAACTACAGCAGCGGATGCTCTTCTACTTACAACAAATGTTTTTGAGCCCGGCGGAAAATATGACTGAGAAACTTACTAACTCAGAGGAAAAAGCAAACGTTGAATCTCAGCTGAGACGCATTTGGAGTGAATGTATTGGCACAAAACGGTTTAAGGGCGACGATGATTTTTTCATGGAAGGTGGAAATTCACTACTTACACTAAAACTGGCTCGTTGCATTAAAAAGGAAATGAATATTTCAATGAGCGTTGATGAAATATTCGAGAACAGCGTGTTTTCGCAAATGACAGAATTTTTGCAGAAGCGATGCAGTGGGCGAGAATCCGTCTCCTCGAACCTTCCTCACTCAACCCCAACAGCAGAGAGGAAAGGAACCACGATTGCGGACGGCGAGAATTCTGTGCTCAACTTGCGGGAATCAGCGGAAGCTCACGACAATAAGCTAAATGTAAATGTTAAAGCAGACGTTGAAAATCTGAGAACAGTAGTAGTTCAGCTGCACCATGGAGACAGTCTAGGCCAGCAGAATACAGGCGCAATCATCGTATTTTTTCATGCGCTTATTGGTGGTGTGAAATGGACGTATTCGTCACTGGCTCGATATCTAGTGACGAAATTACCACATCAATTCAGAATAATTGGCGTCGAACATCCGGACAGCTTTGCTCAAAAAACCACAGATCGCAAACTGTACCGCTCCATTGAATGCTTGTGCTCGAAGTATGCAGAAGAGTTGTATGCACATCTACAGCCGGCGAACCTACGAATATTCGTAGGCGCTTCATTTGGCGCCCTACTCGCCTACCAATGTGCAGTACGACTGCGGTCATTAGGTATGTTATAAAAATTTTCCTATTTGATATATTATAAAAGTCGACCAGAATTACTTCGAAATTTTTAACTTTCACCAAATCAACGTGGGTTTGGTGCAGTGGCAGACGACACATCTCTCGACTAGTCGCTGTGGGTGAAGAGCTAACAGCTATGGATACACAACCGAAAAGACTCGCAGATTTATTCCAGTGGTAGACTGGTAACTGGAGCATGATAAGGAATCAGAGCTGGCTTCTGCTTCTGAGCAGCCCTAGGAAAGGAAGTCATCGATAGTTTTGGCAGCTGAAGTTGCTATCACTTGAATTAGTGGTTTCGCTTCTCAGAGACAGAGAGGGTAGGTGAGCAGAAGGTCCAGATTTATTAGTTTACTGAGGTAGCTAAAGATAACCCAGGCTGAAACACACCAGACTTGCCGGTGCGATCATGTGTTTTTGTACTAAAGTCGCGAGTCGCTAATAGCAGAAATGAGCTGTAGCCTAACGGCTGGGCTCATATTGGCCGTGCTTTGGCCCCTTCCAGCATGTGGGAGAAAGGGCGTCGGTTGCGATGAAGGTGGCGCATTATAGAGCCGCACGAACCTCCACGTAAATGATTACCAGTTTTTTGCATGAAGCCCGATCATTTTTTCGGTAAATCCTCTCTTTTTGAAAAGATGACAGATGCAAATTTTTTGAAAAATGCAAACTTCCAGTCCGCTAGAAGGTGGAAATGTTGCCACAGCAGTAGTCTGTCAAAAAATCAAAGTATGCAAAAGAACTGAATGTTCATTTACATATTTGGATGAGGGCGGTCGACCGATGCAAAACGTGCTCGTTTCTGATTTTTCGCTAAAGTTGAATATTTCTTATGCCCATCTGCCGGGAATTTCACCTCCAAGCAGAATTAAGACCGCACCTGAAAGTAGAATATCCCAGCGAATTTTCAGCCTCGCACTTTATCCGGTAAGCAAAATATCCGCTTCGCTACAAATATCTTTGAAGTGCCCTAAGTCGTGGCACAAGTGCAAATCGATATTTATTTTAGGTAAACGATTTCCCATACGGGAAGCAAACACAATGACAAAATTTCAACCACTGTTTTTCGACGTTTTTGAGTTAGTACAGTACAAAGTTCCAAACTTTGACGTGATCGTACGCGCCGCACAAGCGTGCGCGACAGCTGAATTTGAAATTTTTAGCTCGCACATGCACAGAGAATATCGCTGCAAAGTTTCAGCTTTGTACCTTGCTTGGTTTGCGAAAGAGTTTCCCGCCAAAGAAATCTGCATATTTTTCTCGCGGGCCCGTACGCGGGGTCTAGGCGCGTGTGGGAGATCTTAAAACGGGAGGGTGACACACGGAGTAGGAACACACATCCAAAATTTCAGCCTCCTAGCTTTCCTGGATGCTTAGATGGAAGTGGGTGACAAAATGCACTCGCTTCCGAATACACACACACACACCCGCCCACCCACACACCCACACACACACACACGCATACACACAGACAATCTCCCGGCTATATGCGTTTTTGCCAGTTGCTGAAGCTATCTTTATAAAATTCAGGCCGTGTCGATTTCAGGGCTGGAAATCCATGAGATAATCTCGATCGACGGCACAGGACGATGGAGAGACAAGCCATTCTCGTCTGGGATAACTTACGAACAACATCGCCAACAAATCATGGAAATCGTCAATCGCTGGACCGTTGATGAACAGACTGATGGTGTAATACTGGAAGCGATGATCGACAATGCGTGGGAATTGCTGAAGATGATGCGAATCTACATCCCAAATGAGTGTGAATCGACTCCCTATCGGTTACACGTGACGCTTCTGAAAGCACAGTCTGAGGCTGAATGGGAAGATGATGACGACTACGGCTGGAATGAACTTTGTGATACTACCGTCCTGAAGATACCGTATTCGCATGTAACGATGTTTGAGAGGCACAATGCAGATGATCTTTCGGACATCGTTGCCCGCGCCATCCTGACGGCTAAAAAGCGAATAATTGCTCAATGCAATCATCAACTCCGACACGTTGCGAGTTAATTGGGCACCAACAGCAAGCAGAACAATAAGCTGGCTCACACCTGCAAGTTCCCTTGCGCAATTGCCACAAAGTTTAAGACACAAGGATCAAATCGCACTGGCCCTATTTCGTAGTGGGAATTCCCTCCTGGTCTTCTTCAAACCCACCACTTTTTTTCCGACCACCACCAGCCGACTTTGTCCTTTACCTTTTTTAAAAAGCCGCCGACAATACTGTGAATTACGTGTAGTAAATGCTGCCCCGTCAAAGCGTCTAATTAAATCACTGCAGAAGAACATTCGCAGCCAGCCCGTCTTTTTTGCAACATCCCAGGCAGTAGCAGATTACGCCCACAACGCGCACATCACAATTATTAGGGATATTTCAAAAGCCTTTCAAGTACAACCACTTCCTTAATCTCCGTCGCATGAGGGGGGAGGGGGGGGGGGGGGGGGGGGGGGGGGGGGGG